CCTCTATGGAAAACGGTATGGAGATTCCTCAAAGAATTAAAAATAGAGATGCCCTATGATCCAGCCATCCCACTATTGGGAATCTATCCAACGAACCTGAAATCAACAATCCAAAGAGGCTTATGTACCCCTATGTTCATTGCAGCATTATTCACCATAGCCAAGAAGTGGAAGCAACCTAAGTGTCCCTCAACTGACAACTGGATCAAGAAAATGTGGTATATGTATACAATGGAATACTACTCAGCCGTAAAAAAAGACAAAATCGTCCCATTTGCAACAACATGGATGGGCCTGGAGGGTATTATGTTAAGTGAAGTAAGCCAGAAGGAGAAAGACAAACACCGTTATGATCTCACTCATATGTGGAATATAGACCAACACATGGACAGAGAAAACTGTATTGTGGTTACCAGGGGCAATGGGGGTCGGGGGTGGGCACAAGGGGTGAAGGGAGTCATATATACATATGGTGATGGACAAACAAAAACGTACAACCCAAAATTTCACAATGTTAAAAACTATTAAAACATCAATAAAAAAAATAATAAAAAATAAAGTCTCATGTGGGCAAGGGAAAAAAAATAAAAATTAAAAAAAAAAAACGGTGCTGGAGAAGATGAGGGTTAGAGGCAGTAGCGGTTGGCAGCAGAGAGAAAAGGGAAGATCAAGTAACCCAAGAATGCAAGGATCTGGAAAAGCCAGTGCACTGAGAATACAAGAGATTAGAGGGTTTATCGTCAGGGGTCCAGGGTGGGATATGGGGCCAATGCAAAAGTGCAGGGTGTGACCCTGGAAGGGAGTTAGGGCAGAGCAGAGGTGACAGAGTACACCTGAGGATACTGAATGTACCAAGGATGGTCAAAGGAGGGGTTGGAGAGGAAGACTGAGATAAACCAGATGCAAAGTCCTTAGTGAACAAAGCGGGGGCCTAATTCAGGTCACACAGTAATCACTGAGGGACAGAAGAGGGGCCAGCAGGGCTGTCGGATGACCCTTGGCTCTTTCCAATAGCCCCTTGTGAATGAAGCACCCAGTATGGCCTGATGTCAGAACACCTTCCCCTTCATGACACACCTGTCTTGGACATGACTCAGCAGGGACCTAGAGGTGCCGCCCCTCAGCCAGCCAGGGAGCCCAGGGCCTGCTTCCTCTGTCCTCACTGCTAAAGGTGCAGGGGCAGAAAAGTGCTAAAAGGCTCAGAATTTAGTCTCAACCTGCAAAGGAAATTGCAAAACAAAATTTCTCATAACTGGTAATTCTAGTCTTTAAAAATAATGTTAAGTAACAAATAGCTACCATCCTGGAAAAATTTCTGTCAGTTTGGAGAAACGTCAGAAATAAATGAAACAAGTCTTCTTTGTTCTATAATCACCAAGTACCTTGGCTAGGAACCAATAAAGGAACATAAGTATGACATACCAGATTAGTTGAGTAATACTTGCAGCAACCACATATTCCAGATTTTTGTAGACAACATCAATTTTAAATATTTTTTATCCCATTATCTCCAGAAATCCATATTTCAAAAATTCTAATATTTTGACATCCAAACTACAACCAGGGCTGTCTCTTACAGTTGGAACTGACATCAAAAATTTTGTGCTATATTATACAACCCAATTTAATAATTAGGATTATGAATTATAGATTTATCCCATTTAGGATGTCATTTGGTCACCCTCTTCTTATCTTCTAGTTTTGAAATGAACAATATTGTACAATGGAAGAAGTACTACATTTAAATCCCTTCCAGATTCTCGATGCTGATCCAACTCTTGTCTCAAAATGCTTTTAAAATGGAATAGACCACAACTGGAGTATGCATATGATTGTCTTCCTCCCCAAGCTATATTCCAAACAGAGCTATGCATTCTGAGCAAAGCAAACAAAATTGCTGCATGCAACCTCGCTCTCTCATGGAGACAGGAGAGAGATCTCCCCTTTGAACATATCAGCAACAGGCATTCTTTCCGAGATTAGTCTAGTCCTTACACCAGAAAAAAATCCAGATAACGTAACCTTTTTAAGATTCCTTACAAAACATGTTATCTACCAACTATTATTATTAAGGGGATCACATTTAGCCTTTGCATGAAGCCTCTAAAAGTTTTTTTGGGGTAACTTTGTCTGAAAAGTACTATATAGATATAAATTGTTTTATACACAACTGAAAATCAAACAGTCCTGAAACAGAATGTATCAGCTATATATGGCTTATTACCTCAGGAGTCTTCTTACTCTGTCTTTTCCCAAAAACGCAGTCAAGATCTGTTTTGCTCCGAGACGACAGATCCTTCCCTAGAAGAACATGATGCCTGTCAGTATTACCATTCTTTATAAAATAAAGAGCACAAATATAAACTATTAAACTCTTGAAAGCAAATGGGTTTTGGAAAAGAAACAATTTTGTAAACTACTTTCTGCCTTCCCTTCACAGATTACAACTCTTTCATTAATAAATAAAATTAATTAAATTTAAAAATCAAACAAGCGTTTTAGAACCAGAACCCATGATATTCTCTTAGTGGTAGAAACAACCAAGAGCATGTAAACCAGGAGGAAAACTAAATGCTAAACCTAGCTCTCCTACCGGTATGCTTTCAAGGTCTGATTTCTGGGTCTCTGGGTTCCTCATTTATAAAATAGATCTTATTTACTTCAAGAAGACATGAGCTACTTATTTAGGATTATGAAATGCAGAATAAAAAATGCTGCTAGATACATAGTTTCAAAACCTTGCATACGCACATGAATGAGAACATACTGTATTTGACACATATGAGCTCAATAATTGATTGAATAAAAATTTAAAAAGAATAAATGCAAGTAAAAATTATTGTATTTGGGTGAAAGAGTTTTAGATTTTTCTTTCTAAAATGTTTTTTAATGTTATAGTTATATCATCTTTAAATAAAAGGATATATAACAAGAGCAGGAAATTAAATGGCTTCTGGCAAGAGAAGTGTCCAAAGGATTCATGATTCTTATTAAAAATACTAAACTCTTTAATGTAATTTCAAACCCACAAACCAACTAATTTAAAAATCACTTCTTTGGAATTTCCACTTCTACGAATAATACTCTGTGAGCAGTCGACCAAATCTATTCCCATTTGTCAACTTCCTGGTAAATGCATTTTTAAATGTAACTACTACATGTAAAGTTGTGAGGCCCTGGGGGAGTGAGGCTCTGGGTTAGACACAGGAATTTTTGTTTTGAGTTGGAAGCCTGAGTTCCACTGTCACAGACTCACTTGTCTTCTTGGTTTCCTGTAGCAAACTAACTTGGCAAAGTAATGTCATGACCCAGAAGGTTCTAGTTCACTGACTATGACTGGGGCATTCAAATATGATATTGCTCAGTGACTCCATGAAATTAAAAGAACAAAACACCTTCGATTTAATGCAAAGCCAGGTGCCAAAACCAGTTTCATAGCCAGCAGTACCAGATTCAACGGTTCAGTCAGCACGACCTGTTCCTCTCAGGAAGGACATGCTCCTTTGTGGCTCTATGCTGCTCTCTCCTTTCTTTCTGAGCTAGAAATGAAGCCTTCATGGTTCTAATTGATTATTAAGTAGAATCCAGACAAAAGACCCCAAAGGAAACCTACTTAGGTACAAAATGAAGCATATCCCAGACAGGAACTCAGAAAATGAACCAGAAAAATGGGGAATAAAACTGGTCATGGTGGGAGAAGTAGACAAACTCGCAGGAGGTCTAGAGACCTATTCTTAGCTTTGCCATCAGCATAACCCATTTTGCACTGCAGAGCATGTTCGGGGTGGCAGTTTCTATTTCAGAAAAAGGAGTTGTACTTAGTTCAAAATATGTATTGGCCATCTATCCCTCACCTATCTTCTGGAAGGGAACAGACATCCTTTAAAAGAAATGCAAATTAAGATCTCTTCTATAGCAATTCAACTACAAGAAATGTGGGAGGGCTTAAGGAAGGGAGAGTACATGCAAGATCACAATTCTAAAATGGGATGTCAAAATATGAACATGCAGAGATTAAAAACAAATCTAAAAATCAAAGGGAAAACTGCCAAGCTGGTAGAGATAGTAAGCTGTACCACTGCAAGTGCAAGTGTTTCTAAAGTTTTGGTGATGGGTTCTTGTATCAGAAATTTTTATCCTTTAGCAAAGTTCACTTAAGTAAATGGAGAAACCAGGATTGTTACAGGCCTTGCTCTGGATTTGATCTGGAAAACAAAACACAGAGAAGAATTAAGGGTCAGAGACCAATGGCAAGGAACTTAAAAGTAGATAAAAATGTGAAGATGGAAGTGACATTGAAATAGTTATTATTTAATGGTCCTGGTTGAATGGCTTATAAATGTTATAAAATTATGACCACTTTTGAATAAAATACAAAAAAATGAGTTTGAAAGCTTATTGGTCTCAGTTCTGAATTATGGTCAAATCACAGCAAACACTGTGATAAACTTACATCTTAGAGAAAATGATAATCAAAAAATTAAACAGAATAGGAAATATATGTTCTGTCTGGACTTGCTTCATCTATTAGTCTTCAATTGGCCATAACATTTTGAGAACCAGGAAAAAAGGCTTCCAGTAGCCAAGCTGATATAACCAAGTCCACAAAAGGATGAGCAGATACTTTCAGAGAAGAGTACTTTACGATCGTTTTAGCTGTTTCCCTAATAATCATGATTACCAAGTTTTCCAGTCGATCAGAGTAGCAAATTGGAAGGGAGGAATGTTACTGCTATAGACAGACACACTTACAACACCAAGAAGTCCAGATGGGAAGCAAATTAAACTATAAAAAATAAACATAAAAACTTAGGAATCATGGTGATTTGGAGCCTTTTAGTTTAAGGGCAGAAGTCATATGGAACCTAGCAACTTCTAAGGAGAAAACTATATTATAACTGAGGCTCAAAAGAACTGAGTTTTTCTATTTGGAGTAAAGGGGCAAGGGCAAGGAAATGCAGGTTTGAGAAATATATTTGTTAAAATAAAACACTTAAGGTTTATGTAGGTAACTTCATTGGCTTAGAAAATTCATTTGCATTCTCCAATCAAGAAGGATAAATCAAATAATATCATATTTTGATTTCTTTTTTTTTAAAGAAAACACATGGAATGGATAATAAGCCTAGGACAGAAGATAATGGCAACTTCACTGAAAGGGTAAGTCAGGAAACCTGAAAGAATCAGAGTAGAGTGTGAAGTAAGTGAGACCCTCACAACCAATCATAAGATAGCTGGAATTTTTTAAAAGCCTACAGTGGTGCTATTTTGTATTTAAATGTCAAAAGAATCAGAAGAGGAAACTTAACACCCTCATGAGCAGAGGCCAACTGTGGGAGAAGTTGACTGTGCTAGGAACACTACAGTCTGCGCTTCCAGATAGCAAGCCAACTACCAGGACACATGCTGTGCAGGTTGCTTCCTTGTTTTTTTTTTTTTTTTGTGAGGAAGATCAGCCCTGAGCTAACATCCATGCTAATCCTCCTCTTTTTGCTGAGGAAGACCAGCTCTGAGCTAACATCTATTGCCAATCCTCTTTTTTTTCCCCCCAAAGCCCCAGTAGATAGTTGTATGTCATAGCTGCACATCCTTCTAGTTGCTGTATGTGGGACGCAGCCTTAGCATGGTCGGACAAGCGGTGCGTCGGTGTGCGCCCGGGATCCGAACCCGGGCCGCCAGTAGCGGAGTGCGAGCACTTAACTGCTAAGCCATGGGGCCGGCCCCCACTTCCTTGTTTAAGAAGCAAAACTTGACAAACTGTCAGAGGACTAAGAAGTCTGAGTAAATGACCATGAAGAAGTTGCACAACTACAGTTCATGCAACTTTTCATACACCCACTACACAACTGGGAGAAAAAAAAGCAATACTCTCGACAACTTCTCACTGTATATGTTAAAAACTTCAAAAATGGTTTTGCAGAAATTGATATTTTCCCTATTTTTCCCCTGCAGATATGGACTGGCCAGACATTTTTCAAATTAAAAGAAACCATGTTGTAAAGTAAGGCTTTTAAACAAATATGGATGAAATTTAGTTTTAAAATTATATAAATTATTTCAAATTACAATTATACATTTGGGACTAGAGAAAGGAATAAATGTATCAGAACTAAAATGATATAGCCCATATTTAGGCAGTAGCACATTTTACAATGCTATTTGCTACAGTAATCTCACTAAAGTAAAATTATCTTCACCCTACACACCAAGCTATATAAAATGCCAGCTTCCCAGACCACAGATGGAGTTACAATATGCATCATCCTCATCAAATAAGTGAATTAGTTACTTTCATTATGAGCACACCCATGGGCAAAATCCTTATTATCCATAATGCTGAAAAATCAAAAGTTCCATAAAGTGGGTGATTTCTGATAAGTCATAAAACACAACCTATTTTAGAATTCAGTAATGACTTAAAAACCTTTCCTCATTTTACAAAAGAGGAAACTGAGTCTGACAAGGAAGTGGTTACGAGATCTGTCTGAGAAAGCGATGGCCAGCACCCAAGTTTCCTGTGACCTAAGGTTTAAGGTTTTCATTAATAATGGTTTCCTAGAGGAAACGCAGAGTTTACCATTCATACCCAGAGCAACAGTTGCCCTACAAAAAAAAATTTCTTTTAGTAAATTAAGGAACTTATAATAAACGTTCACTGTGGATTGTTAAGATGGACGGTAAATAATTATTTTCTTCACTACCTGGATTTCTGTCTCCTCCTTCCATCTTTTCTACTTACTCCCAACCTGTATTTCCTCTATTTTCTCACTCAATCTCCTCCACTACCTCTCTGACAACATCTCTTGAACTTTCTTCCCTGCATACCAATGCTCCCATTCTCCCCAACCAAGGCTAATAAATAAGCAAACAGCAAAGCTCACTTACAAGAGAGAAAATGAAGGCACAGCACACCAAGCAGGTTGACAGAGTCACCTGGCAAGGGGGTGGCTCAACCAGAAATAGAAAGTAGATACTCCCAGAATCCATTAGATTAAAGTAGATTAAAGAGGTTTATCCTGGCTTTAGCAAATGCTTCAGATGAAATGATGCACGCAGTCAGGTACTAAAGGAAAATCAGAAGATTCAATTTGCAAAAGTGAAAGCTTCAAAGGCTGCCATACTACCCAAAAGTTACAGGGCACCTTTAATTTTATTAATTTGCTCAGCACCCTTCTGCTGTATCTCTTTTATTTCTATACAGTCGAATGAAAAAAGAAGGGATATTCAAAGGATTAGGTATGAAGTGAACATTTAGCCACTCCTCAAAAAGACTGAGGGGCCAGTAAGGACTGCCTTCTGTTCTGCAGCAGGTCAGGAATGAGAAAAACCCTGATCAGAAGCATATAGGAAAACAACAAAGAAGGTTCTAGCCTGAGAGAAAGATGAGGGGAAAACATGAAGAGCCATACAAACCACACCTGCTGAGAGGACGAAGGGGGAAGTACCAGTCTCTTGCACACATTCCCAAAGCTATTCAGGTCCCGACTCCATTCAGCTCTGCCATGGGCTCTCACTTAAACCAAATCTAGTCCTACCTCATGGGGTCCTGGCCCCAAATGAGAACCACCATTAATAGTTTGTAGTAGTGGAAATTCTAGCTCCCACTGCTATTTGGACAGGTTCTAGGAGTGAGGGAATCCCCAATCACACCAACAAGACTAAAGCAAAGAGTTGTGCTTTTCCTGGTATATCAAGGTAGAAATGTACATCCAGTCTCGCACAGAAGAACCACCAAATGGTGAGTAGATATCACAACATAATTATAATCAAATTTATAACAAGTATGTAATAAATAGTCTTATGTGCCTGGAAAGTGCACTTAATGCATAATACTCTTCTATGGGAAACATCTGGGAGTTGATGAGGGCAAGTTAAATTGTTTCTTACCAGTACAAGACTGCCTCCTAGTGGTTGACGAGGACAACTGCATGCACACTGACTGCATGTATTGGGAAGGGAGTGGGGAGGTGTTGATGGAGGAAGATAGTTCACAAACATGTTTTCTAACACTGTCTTCACAATGATCATGGAACGCTTCGGTTAACACTCCATGAAACGGAGAAATGGTGTGGAGTAATATACGAGTTAAATCAGCAGTGAGATTTCTCATACTGGAGATCTCAATATAGAGCAAAATTCTCTCAATAGGCACATTTTACAAGGTACTCAACACCAACATTAAGCTCTCAAAAACAGGAAAACGTAACCAAAAAGGTTGAGCAATGAATTAAAATTATTTTCTGACCTAACCACATAAAATCTCTTTTCTCTTCTAAATAGCAAGATGACTTCCGCTTTCAGCCGTGCCAAAGGACTCACATATGGTCCAAAAGCGAATCTGGGCCCCACCTCGGATCTGATGGATCTGAGATCCCAGAAGATTCACAACAAATGCTGAAGCATTAGCGCTGCTCCAGATCCACCCCGTCAGGCCATCCATACTTCCCCACTTCATACGTAGTAAGAAGAGACACTGGTGGAGAGCTAAAAATGCTTTAAGAAACCCAAGGTGAACATAGAGATTTCAACAACAAATAAAGAAATGCTTAATTTTACCTTTTGTGAATTTCATATAATGAACCCGGTTTTTGGAGATTTTGGATTTTTCCTCAAGGCTGAAAGATTTCTTTTCCTTGTTGTCTGAGGAGTCTTAAAAAAAAAGGATGAAAAGTATTACATTAACTCTGTTATCCTTCTCATTTATTCTCTTCAGTGACATGGTCTTATTTAAATAAACTCTTTAGGAGGCCTGTCATTTATTATTGAACTCTAATCAAATGATTAGAAATCTTCTTCTTAAACTGTGTACTATGAATCAGGCAAGGCTAGTCTCCAGAAACTTATAAAATCCTCAAGGAAAAGAAATCAAAACTTGTATTCACATAAAAACCTACACACAAATGTTCATAATAGCCTTATTCATAATAGCAAAATACTGAAAATAACCCCAAATTCCTTCAATGAGTGAATGGCCGACCAAATTCTGGTACGTCCTTATACTGGAACACTACTCTGCAATAAAGAAGAATGAAGTATTGACACACACAACAACCTGGATGGTCCTCAAGGGTATTATGCTTACTGAAAAAGGTCAATTACATACTATACGATCCATTTATATAACATTTTGAAAATGACAAAACTACAGAGATGAAGAACAGACTAGTGGTTTCCAGCGGGCAGGGATGAAAGTGGAGTTTAGAGGCAGGAGGGTTGGAAGGTGGGTGTGAATAAAAAAGGCAGCAAGAGGCAGCTTTTTTGTGGTGATGAAACAATCCAGTATCTTGACAGTGTGGTGGCTACATGAATCTACACATGTGATAAAATTACACAGAACTACACACACACACACACACACACACACACACACACACACACGAAGGAAGGAAGGCTAAAAAAATGGTGAAAACTGAACAAGGTCTGTGGTCTAGTACCAGTCAACACCAGTGCCAATGTCCTGGTTTTGATATCATGCTACAGCTGTATTAGATGTCACCACGGGGGAAACTGGTGAATGGTACTCAGGACTCTTTGTCGTACTATTTTTGCAAGTTCCTATAAGCCTATAATTGTTTCAAAATAAAAAGTTCTTTTAAATAGTGAATAAAGGTTAGACAAGCTAAATGATAAAAGACAGATCAGAGATGATAACTAGGTACTGAGTGTGAAGGAGCAGAGCTGGCACTGAGCCACTGCGGCAAACACCAGATTTCACTGGAGGCTCACTTCTAAGGGCAAGAACAACAACAAAAACAAATCGTTGAGAAATGAAGTCATGTGGTTATCCCTTTGACAAAAGATGAAAATGTGAGCCAGAAAGTAGTCCCCTGTCTGAAATATCAAAGCAAGTAGGTCTGAGGTTAGAGTCAATTATGGGATAGTAACTGGCTGCCTGTATCCCTCACCTTTATCGATTTCTTAAATTTAGGTAGCAGAACACCACAGACACAGAATAGCACAGGTAGAAAAGAGACTAAATTTCCCTATTGTTATGTCATAAAGAAATATAGATATGAGGTTAGAGAAAGGGGAGAAAAGGAAATTTTCACCCTAATACTGGTGCAAAACAAGCACGTGCCCATTGAACATATGAGTTAACTGTAATCCCTTCCAGGAATTAGTAATTTCAAAAGCAAAGTGTGAATTATCTGTGTGAAGTATTTAAAGTGTGAAGTAATATCAAAAGCAAAGTAAGGGTCTAAACAATGTAAAGACAGATGTTTCAAGCCTTCAGACAATGTCTAGCATGGGTTAATCATATCAACCACTTGAAACGTTCTCTTCTGCAGTCACTTCCCAAGAATAGCTTGGGATTTTTTTCAAAGACATCCCATTAGTCAATTTTCCTTCTCTTTTCATGGCCAAACACTTCAAATGGCACATAATGTTCTCAATTTTGATGTTCCAAACACAAATCACCAAGCAAGTTATCAGCTTAAAGTAACTCTTATCAATTGAAGGCTTATTGAGTACCAGGTGCTGGACTAAGAGCTTTCTATGCAATCTTGTATTTCACTTTACAACCACCCTATACGGCAGCTGCTATGATTATTAAACTCACTTCACAGAAAGACACCGAAGCACAGAGGGGTTAAATAAGGCACATCTAGGAGGGAGCTCTGACGGGACTCAAACCCAGGCAGATCGGAGTGAGTCCACATTCTTTACTACTACATTGTGTCCCTAAAGGAGCTGCTCTCACACTTTAGAGGATGTAAGAATCACCTGGGGAGCTTCTCCGTCTTCTGAGCACACAGACTTCTGAAAGCATACAGGAGCAAGGACAGACCTCAGGGAAATCAGTTTCTATCTCCCGGTCCATGTGCACTCTTTCCTAAAACTGCTCTGCCTCTGAGTGGATGCATCAATCTGGTTCTCCTTCTCCACCTCTCCTATGTGTCCTCCTGCCACTTGACAAAAGAAAGGCACAACTCTCCTCTTACCAGGGATAAATAAGGGACAAGCCAAAGTACTGGTGTCGGAGGAGCATCCTGTAACCAAAGCAGTGAAACCAGCGCCCTCCAGCCCCCACCAATCTATCTCATCAAGAGATGTACTTCCAAAAAGATTTACTGTTCTAGTAATTATTTATCAAAATTTATATTTCCTGGTTTTATTAATGGTAATCTACTAGTTATAATGACAACTTAATCCAAAGGAAAAATATTCACACTTAAAGGCTTGGGGTTACTAGAAATAAACCAAAACTTTATAGGTATTTGTTCTGTGGCAGAGAAATATGATAGGGTGATGAATCAAAAAAAGTTTCAGCAAAAAAATATATTGACATAAAATACTATGGGTATATGCAATGGAAATATTTCAGAGGCAAAGGAACTATGAAATACAGTATTCTCACTGATTACTCAGAATATATATAGTATTAGTCAGAATATATATAATATATTCTATAATATATATAACTATATAATATATTAGTCAGCATATATATAGAAATACAGTATTCTGACTGATTCTTCTGACTGTTAAGAAGGACTTCTTTGTGTATTTCTACACAGATGACAATGGGTATCAAATTGCTCTGGTATTTATCATCCACTGAATACATCTGAGACTGATGTAATGGTTTTATTTTAAAATGCCAATATTTCTCAATAGACCAGAAATTATACTCTTTGCAACTATTCAAACCTATGATTATAAACATTATAGATGTCAATCTAAAAATGTGAGACAGAACACACAGTTTTTCAAAATTCCCTTAGCAGATACATGAGCAAAAATATTTGAAGATCCCTGTCCTAAACCACACCATTATGGATGTCAGGTTATCAGCATTCCAGTTTATTTCCAAAAATATTTAAAATCATAAGGGACAAACTATCTGATGGAAGTAACAAACATTTCCTAAAACCACGAGATAAGTTCCTAAAACTTAAAGCTAAGTTGAGTCTGGTATGGAGTAACTAATCGAGATAGGATAATTTTTAAAAAGGAAATTTTAAAGAATATACTGATTTTTGTGTCCCACAAGGGAATAACTGTTATTTCCAGAATCTTTGCGAGATTCCATGAAAAGGACAGTATGGAATCTCTGCTTAGTTAAAAGGCAAACTGTGTGAATTTAGTAAGCAATCGTAAGCAACTAAAAGTATTATTGCAGCAGAAAAATATGTTAGTACGCTATGGTGTCATCTACTTTTCAGCTTTAATACAAGTAGTACGACCAAAAATTCACTTGGATGAAGATACTGTATTTACCAGAGATGACACAGCAGAAAAATAATATATTAGCTCTCCAGGTCCATTCCGTGGAGAGGTTTTCCCTTAAAGGAATATTCTAAAGGCCTTTCAGTATCCTGGGATTGGCAGTTAGCAAGGCCTGGTTTGGACTGCACTGAGCTAGACAGGCTACTGGCACCCTCTAGTGGTCTTGAGGTGGAACTTAATCTAGAGATTAGTAACTCTCCAGCTGTCAATGATTTAAGATACTTCCATGTTTCATACAGAAAAGAAAGAAGCAGCCTACACAGATGAACCTGTGCACAGGGCTGTGTGAGGACAAGGCACCACCACTTGGAATCTGTTATGACAAATAATCTGGGGTTTCCTGGGTCACTTGAAACATTTCAATATCACCAACAGCACTTCCGGAAATACATGAGGGGGGAAAGCCCAACTACAATGACTGTGCTCAGCCTCGGCAATCACAGGACAGAGTGGACCTGTCCCGAATCAGAGTTTTCATAACTACTACAATGGCATTTCTCCATCAGAAAACAGTAATCATGACACCATCAAATTGGAAAAAAGTAACTTTCCATCTATCACTGTCAAATCTCAAAAGCAAACTAATCAAAAATCTGCTTTCCCTTCTCTGTATCTGGAAAAATGAATCTCATAGCTCCTTTCTTTACGGAATCTTTGGAGCTGATAAATTCTCGGTAACCCTATCATCACTTGAAAAGCATAAAGTATTCTCTAACTCAGTACATCAAGGAGAAAGCTATGATACCAAAGTGCAAAGTCGACTCCTTTTCCCTGTTCGAGAATGAATGTGTGATGCCTCTGAGAAAAAGAGCCCGGGACTCAAAAGCTTCTGCCTCCATGACTACGGTCATGGCGAAGGCCACATCAAGTCTGTCTGACACCCTAATCATGTTACTAAACCTGTTCAGGAAAAAGAAAAAGTCTGCCATTTATACACCACCAGATATTCATTAAGGTAGAAGTTGATCCCTGGTACTCAAATTGCGGCATCTGTTCCTCTTTAGTTAACCTTCCTCACAGGTTCACATGACATAAATTACACTTGCCATGTTTTACCTGAAGTCTACCAGAAAGGGACCCATGCAATTGTTAGATTTCTTTTATTGTGACAAATACCATCACACATAGGAGTATCAGAAGTCTGTACAGTTAGTTATAAAACAAACCCCCCTCCAACAACCTCCTGGATTAGAAAACAGAACACTGCCCATATCTAGAAACATCCACACCCCTGTGCCCCTTCCTCCTAGAACACAGTTTCTCAACCTCTGAACTCTCGACATTTTAGACTGAACAATAATTTGTTTGGGGAGGGAGGGACAGAGCTGTGCTGTGCATTATAGGATGTTTAGCCGCATCTCTGGCTTCTACCCACTAGATGCCATTGGCAACTGAAAATGTCTCCAGACATGGCCAAC